AGCAATAAAATGCACCTAGCTTAGTAGACAGTAATCAAGGTCATTTAAGTTTAGACTAGAATAGACCCCTGAGGGACACCTATGTGAGTGATGTCAGACTTGATAGGCGCATTTAGACCACTCATAAGTTAAGACCTATTCTCTAAAAAGACCTTATCCAATGATATGGTGGGCCATTTATGCCATACTTTGATATTTCCTGTAATGGCACTGCATGATTGACGTGGTAGATTATAAAATATCCCAACAGGGCACTCGCCTCAATCATTTTAACAAGAATTCCGTTGAAGGTGCGAATTGCTGTCGCCGTAGTTCTTCGCAATTGCATGTGTATACAAAATTTATAAACACTGCGTCCTCCTCCCATTGTTATCAGACTTACCCTGTATATACGCACCAATCAACGCCACCAATTAACAGCAAACAGGCCTCGCTCGTCAATTCCTATCCATCTAACTGACATAAGATAACTGTACCTGCTATGCCGTACACTCTACTTTTAACATTTTTTCACCAGTTTTTCTTGCTTTGCCATTGCACATCGCATGTGTTGGAAAATATGGTAAATGAAGTTCAAATTAGAGCACACGCTTGCCGTACTTTTATTATACACAAGTTATACGTGACAGTTTTAATTTGAACACAATGTTGCTGTTGTAGATGAGACTCTCAATAGTTGAGAGGAATTTGAATGGGTCATCTACGAACGCTCTCAAAAGCGAAAATAGCGCATCAGTAGTAACATTAAACTCAAAAAAGAAGCCCAATATTTGCATTTTTTTCATCCTTCTAGATTCAAATTCAAAATTCCTTTGAATAATAAAAATTACAAGTAATCCATTGTAACAATTGAATTACACTGAACAACAAATTTTAGTTTTTTAATTGTATCTTGTGGGAAAAGTGCACTTCTTTGTTAATTTTGGGGCGCTGAATCCAAAAATGACAATGAAATAAAAAAATTAGTTGCGGTTTAGAAAAAAAAGTTTTTATTTTTAAGAATATATTAAAAAAAGTAACAAGATTCATATACTTATAAGAATCACTATATGCGCTGTCTTTTTGCTGTTCTTTTATGGATCGTTTCTGGGGCATCTCTACCAAGAGTCCAACAGTAGTCTGCAAGCATGGATGGATTACACTTTCGCTGGTACCTTTTTTCCATTGTTGAAATATCCTGATGAAAACGTTCGCCGTGCTCATCACTTACGGCTCCGCAATTGTCAGGAAAAAAGTCCAGGTGTGAGTGTAGAAAATGTATCTTAAGAGACATATTACAGCCCATCTTTTGATACGATGACAGCATATTTTTGACAAGGGTTTTATAGTTGTCAGCTTTTCTATATTCCCAAGAAATTAGTGACCACCAGACGGAAATCATTCCAAGCAGTTTTTTCAATACCTTTTAAAGTGTTTTCAAACTGTGTATCTTTCAAAATATTTCGAATCTGTGGCCCAACAAAAATACCTTCTTAAACCTTTGCCTCACTTAGTTTTGGAAATTTCTGACGTAGGTATTGAAAAGCTGACCCATCTCTATCTAATGCCTTGACCAAGTTTTTCATTAGGCCCAACTTGATATGCAGTGGTGGTAATAAATTTTTTTTCCAATCTACTAATGGCATATGCTGTACATTTTTTTGACCTGGCTCTAGGAATTAACGAACAGGCCAGTTTTGTCTGGTGTAATGAAGTGCCTTTGCCCGACTGTCCCATTCACACAAAAAATAGCAAAACTTTGTGTAGCCTAGCTGCAGCCCAAGTAAAAGTGCAACAACTTTCAAATCGCCACAAATATGCCATTTGGTGCTCATCGTATTTTATGCATGTCAATAGGTACTCCATATTGTCATATGATTCTTTCATGTGAACTGCATACCCTACAGGAAGAGATGGTAAAATATTTCCAATATGCAATAACACTGCCTTTAAACTCAATGTTGAACTGTCTATAAACAATCTCCATTCTTCTGGGTTATAGTTTATATTTAAAGCCGCCAGTAAGCCGTTAATGTTACTGCAGAAAACCAAGTTATTCTCCATATTGAAAAATGGTTCTAAGTCTTTGTGGCGTTTACGAAAAACACATACCGAAGCATCGTCTTCTAACAAGTTCCACTGCTGCAGTCTTGATCCAAGTAGCTCTGCCTTACATTTTGGAAGTACTAAATCTCTTACAAGATCATTTAATTCTGACTGTGTTATTTTGTGCGGTTGGTGGCATCACGTGCTCGGTATAAAATTAGGATCTCTTGACGTTGATGGCATATCTTCTTCCTGACGAATGACTCGATCGCCATGATCTGATTCGTTTTCTGATTCGCAAGTGTAGGATTCTGGGGGTTGTGGAATAGGATTTTCGTCACTGTGAGGCACAGGTCTCATCGCAGATGGTATGTTTGGGTAGTTAATAACCGATTTTTTTTTCTTGGACGTACCTGTGGATTGTCCAACACAAGGTACCATGCAAAAGTAACAATCATTAATATGATTTGTAGGCTCTCTCCAAACCATTGGGACAGCAAAGCGCATAGACCGTTTTTTGCCATTTAACCAGCTCCTCAGACTTGAAGCACATGTATTACAGCAGATGTGGGGTGCCCACTGTTTGTCTCGATCACCTAGTTTACAACCGAAATAAAGCTGATATGCCTTTGTCATTAGTGGAGCAATAGACCGTCTCTGAGACGCAAAAGTCACATCACCACACACGTAACAAAACTGATCTGGATTGCTTACACACTTTCGAGATATCTTGCATGAACGCTGTCAGCCAACTGAGGAAAAAATGGCTAATATAAAACAATATAATGTACACGTATGTATAACGTAACACAATCATGCCGATTACATCATCTTTCCTTGCCGATTATAAAAATGTAGCACGTGCATTCTTGTGAATTACAGTATATTAACACTGTCACAGCAGGAACACATATAATTACCGTATCTCTAAAACTTGAACTAATATTGAAAAAATAAGTTTCATTCCGGTTTTAGCACATTAAAAATAGTAATATATTGTTGATTTTATTTAGGATACTTTTTGGCTGTTGATCAGTGTTATTAGACGCCAGTACACAAAACATGTAGCCGGGCACTATATAATAATAACAAAATACAAAATGTGCCAAATATACATAAACACAGCTTAAGTATTGAAAAAGACAAACTTACAAATGGAGCAGGTCACTTTTCTCAAGACAAAATAAAGCGACTCTAAATGATAAAAATGTTAAAATTTGCTTATGCATCGTTCCAGGTTCTAATTCTATGAGGATATTCCTCATGCTATTCTTAAAGATAATTAAATTTTTACACCCTTATGAGATGCGGTATTTTATTAAAAAAATGTTGTACACGAGTAAGCAGTCTGCAATAAGAATATGTCGAAGGTAATTACCTTGTGTACCTTTTTTTTGCTCTGAAAGCCCTGACGGAGTCACTGCTCCCTCCCCAAAATATACTAAGTGACATATAAATCCGAACACCCAGTTTAAATGGTTTTATTTTAATAAAAGTTGGTGAATGTATTTATCTTACTGTAAATAACAAGTGAAAAAATTTTCAGCCTTATCAGTTGGACATTCCGGTTTTTATACTGCTTTTTTTTAATTCACTAACGCTCTAAAAATGAATATTTCAGCCGCAGTAAAGAATCAAAGTTGGCGGATTTTGGTTCTTGACATCCTTTACGATCGGTTACGATGCCTAGAGTACGGAGACCTGTACGATTTCGTCAACTTCGGGAAGCTGGACTTTCTTTTCGGGCAATTGCAGTTAGAGTGCAAAGAAGTGTAGACACTGTGATTAGGTGTTGTCAGGCATGGCTTCGAGAAGGCCGTACGCAAAGACCAAGGGGCACTGGACGCCGCCGTAGAACAGACCGTGAAGATCGCCGCCTAAGATTATTGGTCTTAAGGGACCGTTTCTTCACTACCAGGTCCATTGCAAATGAATGGTTTGCAGAACACGGAAGACCTATTGGCATGCGAAGTGTTTACCGACGAATGAGAAGTTTTGCCTTGTTTTCATACCGGCCACACTGGGTCCTCCCTTTAACTCGAGAACACCGACGTAATCACCTTGTGTGGTGCAGACAACGGTCACTCTGGGATCAGGAATGGAACAGTATTGTCTTTAGTGACGAGTCTCGATTTTGTTTAGGCATGCACGATGGTCGGGCCAGGGTTAGAAGGCGACGTGGTGAAAGGAGGAATCCACAGTTTTTTGTTGAAAGACATCTTCATCACACTGTTGGAGTTATGGTTTGGGGTGCTATAGCTTATGGTTCCAGGTCACCTTTAATCTTCATCAGAGGTAACATGAACGCGCAGCGTTATATCCACGAAGTTCTAGAACCCCATCTTTTACCCTATCTTGACACCCTGGCAGATCCAACTTTCCAACAAGATAATGCCCGACCACATGTTGCAAGAGTCACAATAGACTTCTTTCAACATAATGATGTCACATTGTTACCATAGCCACCAAGATCTCCCGACTTATCCCCAATTCAAGTTCTTCAAAGCCAATACCGTACAAAGTGCTACATAAGATTGTCCGGCAGCAAAAAGTCACGAGCCTAGATAAACGACTGCATGGTCGACTGTACAACCTTGCATCTTGTGGATGGTTGAAGCCGAAGTCAGGATTAATGGCAACATTCGCAATGAACACGGTGAGAATGCACTACCTTGAAAATGTATCTGCCTCCGATGTGCTGCGCCGAGTGCCCTAATCAACAAAGAGTAAGTCCGAAAATGCACGCACGCGCAGATCGCGCGCTAGCTCTAACTTTCTTAGTCCCATACAGAGTATTTATGAAAGAATTTATCAATCCTGGCAGTTCTAATAAGGTCCCAGATACGTGTGCGAAGTTTCACATGCATCAAACTTCTGTAAATTGGTGAAAATTATGCTCAAAGATTCCTTTACATACATACAAACAGGCCAAGCTAATAAAAGCGTGTTAAAGAATCAAAAAGTATACCACAATCTGCCTCCTGTGAGGATTAGACCCACGATCCCTGGTTTACAAGACCAGTGCTCTGTCACTAAGCCACAGAGGCTTGTAGTTTCAGCATTCGTAAAGCAGCATTTGAAATCCGTGGATTTTTATTAACATATCTGCTTTTTACTGAATTTTACTTATAAGGAAAATTATGCTCAAAGATGCATACAGGCCAAGCTAATAAAAGAGTGTTAAAAAACAAAAAGGACCGATAACACTACCCTGCGGAATACCTACAAGAAGGACCCTCCTCTGTTCAAAGCTGTTTCCATCCATTTGAACAAAAACTTTCTGTCTTCTATTAAAAATGACTGTATCCACCTAAGAGCTGGACTACGGATGCCATATCGTTCCAGTTGTCTAGTAAAATTTGACGGTTTATTCTAACAACTGCTTTGGACAGATCCAGAAGCATACCCATACAAATACTTCGTGTCTCCCAGTCAGTCAGTATCTTATCAGCAAACCCATAAACCGTTGTATCTTCTCATTCACCTTTAAGATACCTATGTTGTGATCTATTCATAAGTTTTCATGTGTACATTGCCGAGAGCTTAAAGTCCACAAAATATGTTAGGTAGGATCCAAAAGAAGATGGATACATAAAATTTGATTATGAGATGCCTGACAGTTTAGTTATCATCATTTGATGCTATGTTGATGATGGTTTTGTGGTCAACTGTTTAGTGCTCGTGATATCATCCTGTATGTATTTATTCGGCGAATATAGCACACCATAGCGAAATGCTAGCTATACCTTTAATATGCACAAATTAGGAGTGACGGTTTTAATTTTGAGAAAATGTTGCTATTGTAGACGGGATTCTCAGTAGTCAACGAGGTATTATGTAATGGAACGTGGGTATACATTCAAATCATAATTGCCGGCAAAATGAGCGAATTAGCTTGTTTTTTCTGGGTAATTTTATAAGTAATTCGTTTCGCATTTATCATTCTTTTCGGAGAGTAAAAGTGTGTATAAATACCTAATTATCACCGCAACTTAGCGTCTATCTATAGATAAATAATAACATAATAGTCGGTTTCGTGGCAACCTGAATCGAGATAACACACATACGAAAGACTAGATGAAATGAGTGTGTTGCTTGCTCCGCGGCATACTTGATTAAAATAAAATACGTTCATTTTTTTATAATTTTTTAGAACAATATCATTTCTTTTAGTGCTAATATGCTCTAGCTTGAAAACAATGCCGTTGCGGCCCACGTTCATATGAACATTTAGTCTTCAAATTGACCAAGAATTAGATGGCTAAAGTATGTCTACATGCTTTAGTAACAACCTGTATATTTTCTTCGATAATCGGTCAAATCAACAACAATCAATCCAAAAGTTTTTAATCCGCTTTGCTATTTTTACTAATTTGATGTACCTATTAAAGTCTACTTTAAGCTTTAAATCAATAAATCTTCAAAACTACCGAACTGAAGCTGATGTATTTTACATCATTATACAGGCAATCGAAAGACCTTTAAAATAAGGTATCACTCGACCCCCCTTTCCATTTAAGATTTTGGGGGTGGTGTCACCCCCGCTTAGGGGGCTGCACGTGCTAACGTGATTTTTTGCCAAACTTGTGTCCCCCTCGAAAACAAAATCGACGGGTCTGGGCGTTTTTCCAAAAAAAAAACTGAGCTGCCAGTAAATGCGTCTGTTTCGTTTTCGACGTGCCACCCTGTATGTATTTTATATGTATAAATTTGAACTACTGCATGGATCCAGTTTTCATCAGGTTACTATTAACTTAGATCATAACATTTAGCAACACTGTCGACGACTTTTGCAGGTAATTTAAGATTAATTACTCACATGAAGTTGCTACTTTTCAAATGTTGTTCCTGATGATGATGACATAGTTCACCGAAAGCTAGTGAATGAAGTTACAAGAGTACACTTAGCACTACTTTCTCAAAGAATGTCTTATAACCTTCCGTTTAATTTCGTCATCAAATTTCAAACTGAACCACAAAATAATTGCGCTTCTAATAGGCAACATGAGGATTCAAATAAAGGATGACAGCTTAAAGAACAATTTATACCGACCATGCTAGTAAACCAATTAATTCAGAAAAAAATGTTGTATATCTAGATACAAAGCATCTGTTGGACGCTGTTTCGTATTCCCCAGATTTTGTATGCACATATTTACGAAATAATCAAGATACCAACATAGACAAAAATGCATGGCCAAAATAGGAAATGCAACCGAGATTGTATAAACTAAATTCTGACAGCTCCGTGGTATATTATGCATCATTTATAATTTTATAGCTCTGGCCTTAATAGGCTCAGGAAAAGAATCTCATGTTTGTCAACACTCACAATCTACTTTGCAATGGATCTATGTCACAGTCCTTCATCTGATTAAAAATAATATCGGCGTTATGGATTTTTTTTGCAATAATTCCCACAACCAGTCGGACGAATGAATCACGTAACAGTCCCGTTTCAAGGCAAAGAAAAATGCAAATTCCATATCAAGAATTTTACGGATGTAAGCAGTTATGTCAGTCTCACCGCTTATTAGTGCACTTGATATTGAAGGGTAAAAGTGAAGTGCCTTGCAACATCAACAATGTACTGGGAATTATCTCAGAAGTGTGACCAAAGTATATATACTAAGTGACATATAAATCCGAACACTCAGTTTAAATGGTTTTATTTAATAAAACAACCACCAACTCCTCTCGAAGTGCTTCTAGAGTCTGAGGAGGACGTTGCAAATTCTCCTACCCATCGTATCCCACACGTGCTCAATTGGGGATAAGTCGGGAGATCTTGGTGGCCATGGTAACAATGTGACATCATTATGTTGAAAGAAGTCTATTGCGACTCTTGCAACATGTGGTCGGGCATTATCTTGTTGGAAAGTTGGTTCTGCCAGGGTGTCAAGATAGGGTAAAAGATGGGGTTCTAGAACTTCGTGGATATAACGCTGCGCGTTCACGTTACCTCTGATGAAGATTAAAGGTGACCTGGAACCATAAGCTATAGCACCCCAAACCATAACTCCAACAGTCTGATGAACATGTCTTTCAACAAAAAACTGTGGATTCCTCCTTTCACCACGTCGCCTTCTAACCCTGGCACGACCATCGTGCATGCCTAAAGAAAATCGAGACTCGTCACTAAAGACAATACTGTTCCATTCCTGATCCCAGAGTGACCGTTCTCTGCACCACTCAAGGCGATTACGTCGGTGTTCTCGAGTTAAAGGGAGGACCCAGTGTGGCCGGTATGAAAACAAGCCAAAACTTCTCATTCGTCGGTAAACACTTCGCATGCCAATAGGTCTTCCGTGTTCTGCAAACCATTTATTTGCAATGGACCTGGTAGTGGAGAAACGGTCCCTTAAGGCCAATAATCTTAGGCGGCGATCTTCATGTTCTGTTGCTCTACGGCGGCGTCCAGTGCCCCTTGCTCTTTGCGTACGGCCTTCTCGAAGCCATGCCTGACAACACCTAACCACAGTGTCTACACTTCTTTGCACTCTAACTGCAATTGCCCGAAAAGAAGGTCCAGCTTCCCGAAGTCCCACTATACGGCCCCTATCAAACTCACTAAGTTGACGAAATCGTACAGGTCTCCCTACTCTAGGCATCGTAACCGATCGTAAAGGATGTCAAGAACCAAAATCCGCCAACGTTGATTCTTTACTGCGGCTGAAATATCCAACTGATAAGGCTGAAAAAATTTTCACTTGTTATTTACAGTAAGATAAATACATTCACCAACTTTTATTAAAATAAAACCATTTAAACTGGGTGTTCGGATTTATATGTCAATTAGTATATATGCCTAGGCGATCAATACCGGTACTGTGCTTAAAAAAAATTGGATATTACTATGGATTCAATAGGTCAAAAAGCTAATGATGTTTATTCATTATATGTGGCCCGTAGTAACGGTCATCTACCCAGTATTTTTTTACAGCACAGCCGATTCTTATTTTACAGTTGTTCTCCTAACAATTATTTGCTTTTACTTCCTGCGTCACTGGGCGTGGAAGTACTGTACTGTAAAAAATTTAGAAAATGATATATTATGTTTTCTGGATGTTCATATGAGCAAGGTAACTGTATTTTGTTATAAAATTCCCTTTGAACTAACCCTGTATATTGCTCAATAAACTAGTATTTTGGGACAAACAATTAGAAATTATCAAAAACTACTTGACCAATCTTGTTGTGGTTATTTAGAAGTACGAATCCTACGAATTTGGAGAATTTCAAATAACTGCGAGAAACCATTGTCGCATTACCAACAAGTGCTAAAAAAACTGGTGTACTCAATTTATGCTTCCATCTTTTGAATACTCCAACTTGCAGCAGTAAAACCAGACAATTATTTAGCAAACCAGGGTTATTTTCGTCTAATATGATTAGACTATATGTTTTATTGGAATATTTGTGTGCGGTGACAGATAGATATTAGCACACTGATTTATGTATTTAATAAAAATAAATTTCTTCATATGTCTTTTTAATTCGTCATACGATAGTAATTTTGTCGCTGGAGCTATATCACTGTAAAAAATAACTGCGTTATAGGTGAAGCATATACGTCCTGTGAATCGAATGACCCTAGATTGCTTATTGCTTCCAGTTATCTGTAGGTATATATTTCGCTCACCCCGTAAGTGATCGATACCTTTTAAACCAAACGTAAATAGCGTACTATTCAATTGAGAAATACCGTTTGAAAGTAACTGTCACCAGACTATAACAGCCATAATAACCTAGCCTTGTAGGATTTCACACAGAGGTGCTACAGGATACATTAAGTATACACGGTAAAGCCACCTGTCATCATCGATTGTTTAGACGAATTATTTTTGTGTCAGTCGCTTGAAAAGGAAGAGAGTTTTAGTGACTAGACGCTCAGTCTCACACTTCAGGTCAATTTCTCAAAATGGTATAAAATAGTCGCTTGAGTAAAAAATGGCGTCAAATAAGATGACTCTGTATTTTCCACGCTACGCACTTATTAGTTCTTATAGGATTATGTTTGGCAGTTAACTCTTCTGAAAAAAAAGTT